ACAGCTGTCTCATGGGAGTGAGTTGCACTGAGCCATTTGTACTGCTTTATAATTTAATTTACTGTTTATTTCTTGTGTTATATATCTATCTGCATAAATATATATATAATTATTAGCAATCTGGTTTTGTCTCTCTAGAGAACCCTGTCTAACACAAATACAAATCACGTATCATACAATTCATTGATTTAAATATAATTATTAGCAATCTGGTTTTGTCTCTCTAGAGAACCCTGTCTAACACAAATACAAATCACATATCATACAATTCATTGATTTAAATATATTAAAAAGAATTGAGCAATCATTTCCACGATCAATTTGTGAGCCCTCTCCTTATACTTCCTATTTCCGTGCCTCCTCCTTTAGTAACCCACCTTTGTCCTGGACTACATTGCTCTCAAATGGTTGATTAGTCTTAGGCATGTACACCTGACTAGGGTTACTGTTCCCCTAATTGACCTGGCTATTGTTTGGTTGAAAATTGACCCAAGGAGGTGATTCATTTCCAGATCCATGGTCTGGATGGTTCCGCTAGTCTGTAAATGACCACTAAGCCTTAGCTCATTGATAATTTTGAATTTTGTCCACATTTTCCTCTCAGTCTATCCAGGACCCTCTCCTGTGGTCTTGTTCTGAGCACTTGGTAGTGTTGGTCACCGTCTATTCAGGTCTTCTGCTCTCGGGGTCTAGGAGACTGATGTTAATCTCTCGTTTGTAGAAGAATGGGTTTATACTGAGCCCTTCACAGAACGAAAGATTGGATACCAGGGCTTGTACAATTTTTATATGATTCGGCATGTATGCATTGAGACATGCCTATGGTCTAATTTCACCCAAAGTAGAGGGAATGGGTCAGAGCTGGAGTCAGGTGAGAGAGAGAGGCACCTAACATGCAGAATTCAAGGAAGCCCTCACTTTCTCACTCCCCCATTCTATTCCTGCCCGAGCCCCCTCCCCCCCCACGCCCAGAGGGAAGCCTTCACCAAACATCCCTTCAAATGAAGAAGACCTAAAACTCATTGCTAGGGATTCAAGCCCTGCTCCCCGCAACCTCAGGAGTGTCGATGAAGAACTGTGCCCTGAAGTGTTTTTCCAGGACTGATGATTTTACAACTGATCACCAGGTGTTTCTTCTGAGGTGCCTCTGGGTGGCCTCGGTCTCTGACAGCAACCCGAACCTCCGCCGCCACCCCCAAAATGAGTAAAGATGGATTTGTGTTCAAATAATAGCCATGGTTAGTACACAATTCATCTATTTCATTACAGAAAAAAAGAAAAAGAAAAAATTGATAAGTAGGAAAAACAAGGAAAGGTAAACTGTTGCTGATTCCCCCACCCCGGTGGAAAAATAACCATTCTGTAGCAGGGCAGTGTGTGCTGCCCCACTGGGAACGTATCACAGCCCATGAGATGTGAATAAAGGGCGTAAACACCACCACCACCCACGCCCCTCAACATTTTGGAGAAAATCCGGCCAGATCTTTTTTTGGCTGTGAACATGTACGCTTGTGTTTTGCTCACTTGTTAAATGCTGGCCATCTTCTCATCTCAATAAACAATGGTCAGCATCCTCGGGTGGACAGTTCCTGGAGATGCCAGTCAAGAGACGCACCACACTCTGCTTCCACGGCCTCTCTTGAGCTCCTCCTAGTACTTCAAGCTTCTCTTTTTGTTCTGAAGGCGGGGAGGGGGGGTGGGGTGGGGGGAGTTGTTGTGGAGAAATAGATAACATGTTTGCCAGATCACGATTTTTCAGAGGTGCACTGTAGTGGCTCTCATTTCACTAATCATGTTGTGCGCCCATCCCCAGCATCCATCTGCCATCCACTGCCATAAACAGAAACTCTGAGTATCCTAAACTCTTCCCCTCCTCCCTGCTATCATTGCTGCCCATTACCAGTCAATGTTGCGCTCTCTTTAGTTGCCCAGTCCAGCTATATCATATAAGTGAGATCATGTAATAGTTGGTGTCACACCAACCTTGTTTGTCACACATCCCTGTACACGTGTCAATCTCCTTTCAGAAGATTAATTGCCAAACGGGAAGTGGTTGGGCCACAGGGTGTGAGCATTTTTTAAGGCTTTTGATGCAGAATACCAAACTAAAGTCTAGAAGGGTCGGACCATTTTAATCCCTCATCAGCAGCTATTCCTTCATGCCCTCACCAACATTTTGTAAGCCCTGCATACTGGTGCATCTCTCTCTCTCACTGCCAACGAGTCCCTTCTGACTCACAGCAGACCGAGCAGAACTGCCTCTGGGGTTCTGAGGTTGTAAGTCTTTATGGGAGCAGAAGTTCCATTTCTCTTCTGAGGTGTGACTGGTGGGTTCAAATAGCTGGCAGGTTTAAGCTGCTGACCCCAATATCAACCCACCCTGCCACCAGGGCTCCTACTGTATATGTGCCAAACACGATCAAAGTCACATAAAGCATAGTCTGTGCGGGAACGGATATAGAAGGGGGAGACAGATCAGAGAGTCACCTTGCTGGGATGACAGTAGGTCATCTTCCTGGGATTAGAATGCATTGAGCTCTGAATACACAGACTGGCCATGTGATCTATCCAGGGTAAGTGGCAGAAGGGTCCTGGAAGAGGTGAACTCTGAGGCTAACCTTGAAGGGTAAGAACAGAGTAAAGAACAGAGGAGGAGTGATGGGGAGAAGGAACCAAGTAGAGGAAAGGTTCTCAGGCATGAATGTTCAGAGCAAAAAGTTCTGTGACAGTTGGACTGAAGGGAGCACAGCCAGGTGGGGCTGGTGGAATGATGGCAGTTGACGCACCAGAGATGAGTTGGGTCTGGTCTAGAAGGTTTCTCTAGAGCTCCAACTTTCTCTTGAAAGTTAGATCAGCATCATCAAACACTGAAACCTCTGGTGGGAGGCTGGAGTTGGTGTCCCAGCCTGGGTGTGGAGGACTCACACTGGTCCAAGTGCTGCTCGCGAACTGAAGGGCTGCTCTAGGAGTCCTGTGGGCTGGGGAACAGCCTCTGTGCCCCGTAAGATGGACAGCCCCAGCCTAGATCTCTTCACTTCTAAATATCTCTGCTCCTCATCATTGGCATACCAACTTTGATTTTTCTTCCCTTCTTCTGTTCTTCCAGAAAAGGTGGCCATTAAGATCCTGGACAAGACCAAGTTAGACCAGAAAACCCAAAGGCTACTATCCCGAGAAATCTCCAGCATGGAAAAACTGCACCATCCCAACATCATCCGCCTTTACGAAGTCGTGGAGACCTTCTCTAAGCTCCACTTGGTGATGGAGTATGCGGGGGGTGGGGAGCTCTTTGGGAAAATTAGCACTGAAGGGAAGCTCTCAGAGCCAGAAAGCAAGCACATCTTCTCCCAGATTGTATCGGCAGTGAAGCACATGGTGAGCAGCGGGCCCTGGGAGTAGTGGGCCTGCCCCCACGCCAAACCCATTAGGAGTGTAGGGCTTTAAATTGTCATCATTGATTGCTTGAGTAGTTTAGTCCATCAAGGGCAGACAGATACTCCTCTCTCTGTGAGTGTCTCAAGTCTGGCTGGGAGGGTAACCTTGGCCTGTGAAGCAATGGCCAGGGCAGTCCACTGACACAGCAGTCTCTGAACTTCTAGGGAAGTTGGCAGGAAGCACCTGTGAGCAGCTGTGGGGGAAGGCCAGCCCCCCACAACTAATCATGTGTTCGATAGGCGCAATTGTATGGTTAAATATGTATATGTATATTAATGAAGTCATAGAGAATAAGGAGAGTTAGAAGAGAGATTGAAATAATGGAGTCAGACACATTTCATGGTAGCATGCTCACCTTCTGGATGGCCATGATCTCAACAGCCAGGTCCGTGTACAGCTCTGTACAGCTCCAACAGAGAAGGCAGGAGAGGGAGGATGAGGAAGGACATGGGGAGGAGGACAGGGGAGAGAGAGGGATTGGGAACCAGGGGAGAAGGAATGGGTGAGAGTGCCAGGGGGAGAGAGCTCTTTATTTCTTTCATTCTTTTTTTTGTTTTGTTTTTTTGAGAGCTCTTTATTTCTAACAAAGGCTTATATATCTTTGAGGGACATGGAAGCCCCCTAATTACAGGTAAAGACATATGTCACAGGAAGGGGTTGCACTATAGGTAATACAGTAATGAGGGGGGGGACAATCTAGGGGTGTTCACGCAATAGGAAGGGGAAGGATTGGGGGCACACAGGTGACAAGATGGGCAGATACTAGATGCAGGATGGCAGCCTAACTTTGGATGTCACCAAGCAATTTTGACTTGTTCTCTGGCTCTTCATGGAAACCATTATCAGTAGGGTGTGAACCCCACCTACAGTGGACCAGATGCCTTCAGGGAGAATATCTCTAAGCATCTGACCTCCCACCATGTGCTGGCAAACAGCCTCTAATGTTTGGCATATATTTGAGGGAGACAAAGCTCGGGAAAAGTCTTTTTATATCCCTCAAGGGGCCAGGATGGATGTCACTCACTCTGTGGTCAAGCTCACCTCTGGAACCTCATCTAGTAACAGGACAGCTGGCTCCGCCCTGCTTCCAGGCCTGGCCTTCTTACCTCTAGGATGTCTTCTGCCCTCTAATCTTCTCTAACATTCCAAATCCTACCCATACTTCTTGACCCAGCTTAGTTCTCTCTCTCTGGCACTTTCTTTAATCTCATGTCAACTCACTGCGCTTTCTGCCTTGGGTGAACTCCTTCCTTGCCCAGCAGATTAAAATCCCACGATGGCATGCTTATTGTAGTTCTCTGATGATTCCTTAGACAAATCTGTAACACGGAAGCAGACACCTTCGTTTTCTGCGAATGGATGCTTTTGTAGCCTCTCTCTTGGGACTCACATTGCTAGGCGCACAGAAGGACTGGCTTTCAGACATGATTGGTATACATACTTTACCCAGATCTTGTTCCAAGTGGTCTGTCCATCTAGCAGAAAACAGACACTTGTGCTGGTTGAAAGGTTTCTAGTTCTCTGCTCTGTTATGTAAGAACCGGACCGGTAGTCAGGCCAAAAATTCACCCACTGAGGAATTAGTGACCTACAGGCCTCAAAATAGCAATAAATAAGGATGGAGGGGGAAAAAGAATGGATCAAGACAGAGGGGCCCAATAGTGGTGATGAGTATTTCAGACCTGTTACCAGTTGTCACTTCGGTGACCCTGTGCAGAGGGGAAGGAGGCCTGGCAGGGCCATCAGGGAAACCTTGGACTGCTAACTGCTTGCAAGGTTGGCAGGTCAAACCCACCAGCTGTTCTGAGGGAGAAAGATAAGGAAGGCTATCTGTTCCTGTGAAGATGTACAAGTTGGGGAATCTATAGGATCAATATGAATCCAATTGACTTGGTGGCGCGGGTTTGGGATTTGGGTGCTGAGGGAGGGGAGGAGGATGATGTGACTGTGTCTTTAAAGATGACTGCCTAGGGAACTCTACAGGGACAGTTCTAGTCTCCTCGGTGGAGTCACTGTGAATTGACTTGATGGGTGCTTTAGTGACCTTTCCTGGGGTTTGAACCTTCAAACCAAGCAAAGAGAACTGGTAGACAAAGAATCTTGCACATTCTACTTGGAAAAGGATTCTGGTGGGAGAGCAAAAAATAACGGAGCAATATCAGGTCCAAGACTCAAGTCCCCTGAGGCACTGCATCATGCCATCCCTCCGAGCTCTCTGAGAAACGGAAGAGTGAATCACAGACTATGTGCCAGGAATATGCCAGGCACTGTAACTGCAGCAGCGTTTACAGTTCTCATAGCAACCAATTGAGGTGGTTCTCAACCGCCTTTAAGAGGAAGAAACTGACACTAAAATTACCCAGCTCGCATAGCTGCACCTAGAACTAACCAAGCCATCAGGCTACAAAGCCTGGAGTTGCATCCCAGGACATTCATTGGGAAGAGGAACATGAAACCATTTCCCACGAGCCCTTGAGACGGAACAGGTCAAGAATTCTCAGGTCATTTATCCAGGTTCAGCAGGCCAGGGTTGGGGTGGGGACAGGGCATTCGGCTCACAACCTGCGTGGGATCTGGTGTTAGAACCTTGCCCGGGTCTTGGCCCGTCAAGACATTGCTCACGCAGGAGTGTGGGGGAAAGGCCAGCCCTCCACAATTAATTGTGGGTTTGAAAGGCAAAATTGTATGGTTGAGATATATAAATATTAAAATAAAGTCATTGAGAGCATGAGAGATAAGAGATTGAAATAATGGAGTCAGACACATTTCATGGTAGCATGCTCACCTCAGGCCCGCTCAGTGGTCCACGTGGAGATGGGAGGCCAGAGGGCAGGAGAGAGGGGGAGGGGAAGGAGGACAAGGGGAAAGAGAACAGGGGAGCGAGGGCCGGAGAGGAGGGAGAGCCAATGAGAGGCCAAGAGGGAAGCCCGAGAGAGCTCTTTATTGCTAACCCAGGCTTATATACCTTTGGGGAGCATGCAAACCCCCTAATTACAAGTAAAGACATACGTCACAGGAAGGGGTTGCACTATAGGTTATACAGCAATGAGAGGGGGACACTCTAGGGATATACATGCAATAGGAAGAGGAGGGATTGGGGGCACACATGTAACAAGAAGGGCGGCGCCTAGATTCAGGATGGCAACCTAACTTTGGATGTCACTGAGCAATTTTGACCTGTTCTCTGGCTCTCCATTGAAACCATTATTAGTAGGGTGTAAACCCCACCCTCTAGGGACCAAACTGGTGACTGCAAACCTTTAGGCAGAAGTAGCCCATTGTCCCTAACAGCAGGGTGTGGGCCCTATTTGTGGTGGGATGAGATAGCAGTCTGGCAACTGACTGCCTTCAGAGAGGTAACTTGACAATCATTTACCATTAGCTGCAAGCAGTGTCCCAAGTCTAACATATATTTGCAGAGAAGACTTGGGAGAAATCTTTCTGTTTCCCAAACAGAAGAACCCCCCTCCCACTCCCACCCAAACTCCAACTCTAATATGGCCTAAAACACCAAGGACGGTGGTTTCATTGTGTTTTGCAATGTGCAGTTTTGTAAGAGCCAGTCCTTATTTTTGGCACTAATTCCTGAGAGCACATGGTGGAACGAACTGCAGCCCCTCAGCCCACAGACTAGGATCTCTGCTTGATTTGAGGGGGTGTAGGTGCTGCCTTTGGCGAAAGGTTATGACAGTGCTGCTCTGGACCAGCCATTCTCAACCTGTGGGTCGTGACCCCCTTGGGGGTCGAACGACCCTTTCACAACAGTCACCTGATTCATAACAGTAGCAAAATTACAGTTATGAAGTAACAACAAAAATAATTTTATGGTTGGGGGTCACCACAACAGGAGGAACTGTATTAAAGAGTCGAGGCCTTAGGAAGGTTGAGAACCACTGCCTGGAGCTTCGCTGACATAAGCCAAGTTGATGGCCACTGAGTTTGTGTGTCTGAGCAATTGATGATTGTTTGTTTAAATATTTTTTTGTTAGTTTTTCCCTTTGAAAATGGCAACTCTCCCCTTGCGTCTTCTTCCACAGCACGAAAACCAAATTATTCACCGAGATCTAAAGGCAGAAAACGTATTCTATACCAGCAACGCGTGTGTGAAAGTGGGCGATTTTGGATTCAGCACGGTCAGCAAGAAAGGGGAGATGCTGAACACTTTCTGTGGGTCCCCTCCCTACGCTGCGCCGGAGCTTTTCCGCGATGAGCACTACGTGGGCGTCTACGTGGACATCTGGGCCTTGGGCGTGCTGCTGTACTTTATGGTGACTGGCACCATGCCGTTCCGGGCGGAGACCGTGACCAAACTGAAGAAGAGCATCCTGGAGGGCACCTATAGCGTGCCTCCGCACGTGTCGGCGCCCTGCCACCGGCTCATCCGAGGGGTCCTGCAGCCCATTCCCACGGAGAGATACGGGATCGACTGCATCATGAGCCACGAGTGGATGCACGGGGTGCTGTATCCCATCCCTTTAGAACCCTTCCAGCTGGATCCGAAACATTTGTCCGGAGCCAGCGTCCTCAAAGAAGAAGAAAACGAGGTCAAAAGCACTTTAGAGCACCTGGGGATTACTGAAGAGCAAATCCGAAATAACGGAGGGAGGGACGCTCGCAGCGCCATCACAGGGGTCTACCGAATCGTTTTACATCGAGTCCAAAGAAGAAAGGCCCTGGAAGGCGTCCCAGTCTTGATATTGCCAGACCCGAAAGGAAGGGACCTCAAGAAGGGGTTCCGGGTCTACCGAGGGATTAGGCACACGTCCAAATTCTGTTCAATTTTATAAATTGCATTAGACGCTTGGTAATGAACCAAGATCATTGTGACTGCTTTTCAATTTTTTCACAGACAACTTGATTGTGGAGACATTTTGTAATTTTTAAATAAATTTCAATGGATGCCTTTGAGCTATGCATTTTCTTACCACCACCCTACCACCCATGAGATGTCCTTTAGTTCCGATGTTAGTTTGCTTGGGACCTTGGCTTGCTCTCAAGATCTGGGATTGTCATTCAACCAGCACTGATTTAATCAGAATCTACTATGTGGCAGGCAGTGTTTAAGGCACTGGGAAAACAGCAGAGACTAAGAGAGACCAAGTTGTTCCTCTTGTGTGTAGGACATCTGAGTGCAAAAGACCCCAACAAATCACACACACACACACACACACACACACACACACACTTTTTGTTAAAGAAAAACCGCTGCTAATCCAAAATGATGTGCAGAGATTTTTAAAAGGGCTATCTGATATTCATAGGCTTGCTACTTTGGAGTATGTTGTTAGGGAGGCGATGGCCGTCTGAGATCTGAGTGAGAAGCGGGTCGCTCTTGAAAAGCAGGCCAAGAACATTCTAGGCAGCCATGACGTTTGAGATGGGGAGGTCTCCATGTACAGCCGTTTATTCCAGAGAGCAGGAGTGAGCAGCAGGGCAAGCAGGGCAAGTCGATGACGAAGATGCCTGATCAAGAGGTGGTCTCGTGGTCACTCATGCAGGGCTTCTGAGGAGCCAGAGGAAACACAGCTCAGGCATCTGCCCAGCAATCATAGGGACAGCCTTTGCCCATCAGTTCCTCTCGCCCATTGGTCGAATGTGGCCCTGTGCATGTCATTGGCCCCACATGTGGAGATTGTACTGTTGTGTGCCAAATGAGTTCCCCATAATCCCCATGCTTTCGTGCCAGAGACTCTCTGGAGCCGACATAAGAGGTACACAGCATTGGCCTAGGACACGTTGCTCTTAGCTGGCACAAAGCTGTCAAGACCTGCACAGAAACGGTCACTACCGTCTATCTAGATAAGATAGGT